GAGGCGCAAGGCGCTTACAGGAGCAACTCATGCGCCTGTAAGTAGCTCAGGCGAGACCCTTTGATTAGTCGCGCGCCTTTATGTCAGAGGCTTTATTTGTTATTTGTTTATTATTTTTATTAACTAAATGTTATGCTATTTGTTTATTATTTTTATAACTTATTATTACCGTTTTGGTTTACAAATTTACAAAACAAAAAAGAAAAAGAATAAAATAAAATAAAAGGAAAATGAAAGTGATTCAAGTCAAGTGAATCAAAGAAAAGGGGTTAGGGCTTGCGATTTGAATCAAAGAGAAAGATTCAAAGTGAATCTGCCGACTGTGACTGCTCTCTCACGAATCACGATCTCATCTCTACTAATTTGAATCCAGATAAGTTCTATTATTCTCTCTCCCTTCTTTTTTTTTCTCTCTCATTCTTCTTTTTCGGTAGACAACAGACTTTTTTTTTTTTTTTTTTTCTCTCTCTCTCTCCTTCTTCTTCGGCAGACAATAGACTTGTTCTTCTTTCTTCTTCTTCTCTCTTTTTTTTCTCTCACCTTCTTCTTCTTCTCTCTTTTTCAACATAATTTTTCTTTTTCTTCTCCCTCTCTTCAGTTTTATTTATTTATTTATTTATTTTATTTATTTATTTATTTATTTTTATTTATATGAAATATGTATTTTTTTTCATCTAGTAGTAGCTCAATTTTTTATTTTCTTAAAGAAATTTGTTTCTCTGAACTGGAACTGGACTACACAACTCTATTTTTAAAAAAAAAATTGAAATTTTAATATTGCTTTGAAATTGAAATCTGGTTTTGCTAATTGACATGAAATCTAGTTTTGCAAATTGAAATCTGGTTTTGGAACTGAACTGGAACTAGACTGCACTACTCTATTTTTTATTTTAAAAAATAGAAATTCAATTGATTTAGTTGACTATTGAATCTTTATATATATTATTGCATCTTTATTGGGTGGTTTTTTTTTTTTTTTTCAACGTGCACTTTGTTTCAGTTGGGCGCGCAGGCTCCAGGAGGCCTTTGCACTTTTGTGCGCTTTGAGCCTTTAACAACTATGGGCTCGGCTTGTTATGTCCAGAATGATGCTTGGGCTTGGTCGATCTTGGCGTAACCAGGCTCGGGCTTGACTCGATGGAGATTCGGCAAGCTTGGGCTTGAGCTCAACTTAGCTAGGGATCAGATCACATATTCAACAAATTACCATGATCTCTAATATGAAATCCAATCTCTATCTTCGACCAGAAACAAACCCATCTGATCTTTATCTCCCTCTAGAAAAAATCCATTCGAACTCCATCTTATAGAAGAAAGAAAGAAAAAATAGAAATAGAGAATAAATTTCAAAATGAAATCAAACCTTCAAAGGTTTTATCCCTGATCTACACCTTAAAATCTGTTAGAGAGAGAGAGATATAGCATAACTCTGAGTTATTTGATGAGAGCTGTTAGAGACAACAAGATGAGAGTTGGCAGAAAGAGGAGATAAAGAAGTGAGGAGCATTGTGGCTATAGAATTCTATGTCTAGGTTATTTGTACCTCGCTTGACTCTAGCAAATCAAAGGTTGAGATGTGTTAATGATTAATGGTTTGAGATTCAATCTTATTTGAATGATGGTTCTTTCTTGTTTGGGCTATAAACCTTTTAAATACATAACGGTGGAATATGGGCTAAACATTTTAATTGTAGATAGTATTACAAATTTACAAATGAACCCTTACTAAATGAGCTTATTCACGAGCCTACCGAGCCGAGCTCAAGGTTGCTCAAGCTCAGCTCGTTTACTAAACGAGCTTGAAAGGTTAGCTCGAGCTTGGCTTGTTTACTAATGAATAAGCCCGAACCAAGCTTTTAACAAGCTGAGCCCATGAACAGCTCGGTCATTTGCAACCCTACTTGCAATAGAAAGAATCCTTGTAGGATATGGCTATTTAGAAGGTGTCGAACCTCAAGGACCGTGTTGGTACTGTCAAGTGTAAAACTAATTCTTATTTGATTCAAAGAAAGAGAAATGTGTTATTTTTTACTTCTAAATTACAATGAATTGAAATTAAACTAAATTAACGAGAATAAATATCAAGATAATGGGGACTTAGGAAATTGACTTCACCACTAGCCTCATACCATGGTCAATTGTCTCAACTATGGGGAATTCACACTTATTCACATTCGGGAACAAAGTGGCTACAAAGGCACTTCAATTCAATTAAGAAGGCGTATATAAACAAACACTAAGCCATAACTCATCTTCGGTTGGCACGAATTGCCTATCTAACTATTCTAATCTACCATGCAGTACAACTCGTCTTCCCTAGACATGAATTATCAAAACATTAATTCATATATTCGTTAAGCACGATTGCATGATCACTACTCCTACGATCACAGGAAATAGAAGAAGTTTGAATTTAATTATAATAAAATCAATTCTAAGATAAGAAATTAATTTCATTAAAACTGATTATAATAATTAAAACCCAATTGCTTAGTATAACTAAGTCAATTGCTCACACCCATGCAGTCAATATACATAGAAAAATCCCCAAAATTAAGAACAAACAAACCATGTTACTCGGACTAGGGTTACATTAATTCCTTAAGAATGAATTTAGCTACATATGGAGAAGGAAGATATCATCGTTGTTCGTGCATAAATCTTCTCCATGGACCGCCAAAAATCCCTTAGGATCTACTTCTACAATCTTCAATCCAAAGCACAAAATCCTAAAAGTCGTCAATCCCCTTTCAATATGTCTTCTTATCTTCTTTTATATTGGAGAACAAGTCATAATCCCTCTTAGATAAGCTTTACAACTTTTATGGATAATTAGGTCCATAAGGAAACAAAGAAGAGATGTTTTACAACTTTCCTGCAACTTTTGGAAAGTTACCAGAGTTTTGTGCTCGAGCACTAACCTTCAGTGCTCAAGCATTGGGTCCTTGTGCTCGAGCACTAGGTCTCAGTGCTCGAGCATTAGGCTTTATGCTCAAGCTTTTTGATTTAAAATTTTCGAAGCGTCTTTTCATCTTCAAATCTTTCCGGTTGAATCCCGACTTGACTCAAAAGGTCCGAAACATCTCCTTAAGCATCAAGAACACCGTTCCAAGTATAAATCCATGGAATTGTCCATATATTCGAGTAAAGACCTATAAATAGCAAATAAACAAAAACAAACATAAGAACCGAGATAAAGGTATCACTAAGGCATTAACATATGCACGTTTAAGAGTTCGAATATGAAATATTCAGTACTTATCAGGATCTCTCAACGAGTAGCATGTTGAATACGCGACCAACTCTAGTCTCGACTATTTAATAAAATGTTTGAGCATATATATGATTACACATCAAAGTTATAGACCCGGTGTGGGGTTGGAGAGTCCCCTCTCCTAACATACTCTAGCGATATGGCAAATCAGAACAAAATAATAATAATAATAATAATAATAATAGTATTAATAAAATTAAAAATAAAAATTGGCCCATTTTTTTACCAAAGAAAGAGATGGTTTGTACTGCTTCTCTTACACTTTTTTTTTTCCATATTTATATATGATCTTCTTAATAGCTAAAAAATAATTAGTTTATCATTTTCATAAACTTTACTTTTGTCACTACTAATCATTAAAATAATTTCAAATATCTTAAAAAAAAAAAACTGGATTCATGATCTCACACCACCCAGTTGATATCATAGTAAAAAATATTGTATTATAATAAGAAAAATGATGAACATCACGAATTTTCTCAAATAAAAGAGTAACGGAGTGAATAAAAGAATAACTGAGGTGAAACAGTAATGAGATTGGATGTGTTCCTAAAAAGTGGAAACTAAACTCACAAACTGTTAGTTTATTGATAAAACGCAACGAAAATAATTTCATGATATCTTGCGTTGCTCCAATAAACTATAAACATGGATATCAGATTTAAGCCTACTCCATCAAACACTTCCTAAATTCTAACGGAAATGCTATATATCAACAACTCCGATGTGTCACATTCAACTAATATAATATAACAAGCATAGTTCACCATTTTGATTTTTCTTTCACAAGCATAGAGCATCCACTTTGTTGCTAAATCTGATAGACTATTAGGTTGCTGCAATGTTTTAGTGCAAGTGTTATCATTTGAGAAAATCAAATGCCATGTTGTTGGAAGAAATTCAATTTTAACTTAATATTAGGTGTCGACTCCACCCGCAATCTCTGGTTCAGCATCTTCCTTCCCACCAAACCTCCACCGTCCGGCGACCTCCTGCCCATGATTGTCTTCTTCCACGGTGGCGGATTCACCTACTTTGTCGTCCCTGTCTTCTTCCACAGGGACTGTAAATATCCTCGCTGACCACCGCCAATTTGATCTCGATGCCTTCGCCGTCATCGCCTCTTACCACCGCCAATTTGATCTCAATGCCTTCGCCGTCATCGCCTCTTACCACCGCCAATTTGATCTCAATGCCTTCGCCGTCATCGCCTCTGTGCCTAACGATGTCGCCACGTGAGTTGCCAGTTATTTTCGAAAAATGTTTGAGAGTGATATTTGATCAAACCCGAGTGTGTGAGAGTGAAATTAACCCGAGTATTTAAGTTGATTGCTTCCAACTCCTCCATTTTCTGTTTGAGTCTCTGTGTGATTGGGACAGACTTGGTAATAACACAGAGCAGTTCAAACCTTAGAATGTTGCTGATTCTAGTTCAATAGGTAGTCGATTATAAAAAAATTTAGAGTAACGCTAGAGAGTCCGACAGTGGGACAGATCCAACTAATTTTATGTAAGTAAAGGCTAATATCATCATGACAGCGTGAATACTAATGACATCATGATGATGTCAGCCCTTCAGGTCGTCCAAAATCGCCCCTTCAGGTTTTAATATTCTCCCGGAGCAGCTCTTCTTCTTAAACATCAAGCAACAACAATACAGTGAGAGTCTAGACAACATTTTGGAGCCTAGAATGTATCACATAACAACCAAGTACCACCTGAGAACAAGGGAAATATTCCAACTACAATTCATGAAATTCAATAAAGTTGCCATCTTCAATGCACAGCAATAAAGAGGCTGAAGCAAAAAGATTACAAATTACAATTGCAACTCTTTTATCTGTTTGAATAAATTTACAAAGGCAGCAGATTTGCTGATTGATGCCATCCCTGCCTGTAATGATATAATTTTCTAGTTCACACACAAAAATCACCCCCAAACAACAAAATCAATTAAAGAAAGAAAAAAAAAATCCCCAATCTCAAAAGAAGGAAAGGCAAATAAATAAAACCTCACCAACTTTACAAGCAATCTAAGTGAAAGGAAAAATTATGTTAAAAGGCAAAACAAATCCAAAGAAGAGAAAGAAAACGAGAGAAGACACACCATAGAAGTCAACTTTTACAGCATCCTACGTCTTCGGACAAAACAATCTGATTATATGTACATTCGACCCTCCCAATCTTCGTAATCATCACCAATGACATGGTTTAACTTTCTGGTGTCCAAAGTGATTGGTCGAAGTATTCCCATAGGCACCTGAAACTTCAAAGTTAAAAGAATTTTAAGATATATATTATTATGTGCTCAATAAATTTTGAGAAATACACGAGCAGTCCCTTAATCCATATGTCACAGAGCATGAGATACAAACATGACACGTATAGTTGGGTGACAATACAGTTTCAAATCTAGTTTGACATTGCAGTGGTCAATTAACCAATGTGATCGATCTTCAAATCTTGGTTAGTCCACATTTTGAGAAGAAGGAAAGAAAAAAAGCAAGGAACAAAGGTTTATTGTTATTCGTTTTGCTCCAAAAAGTCGTTCTTCTTTGTCCTTACTTTTTTCCCCTTAGTATGATGTTGCAGATCTTTGTGATGCTGAAATTAAGTAAGGGGTTTCCGGTGAGACCTTACATGCAAATAGATGAAGATAGGATTACAAACACTCCGTTTTTTTTTGGAAGAATCTTAACAGTAGATATATTAACAAATCTAAAAGCAATAGTAGGATTTCAAAAAATTCAAATTTATGAACACTTCGAGGCTTCGCACAAAACTTTCTCATATATAAATAGCCAAAAACCTCAATATAACCCATGTTTGTACCACATTAACCCTTAGAAAAGGAAAAAGTAAAGCATTAAGATCCCATATCCATATTCCACCTTCAAGTTGGAAAATCACCTTAACAAACAAACAAACCGTTGCTACTCTTGTTTTTATGACAGCCTTTGCTACTTCATTTATCAACCTTTTTCCCACTATTCAACAGCAATACACTTAGGGCAAGCTTGACCATCCAAAAACAAATTTGCATTGCTCCATTTTTGTTCTAAATAAAATTTTCAAAATATCTCCATCTGTGGATAATGTTAGACAATTAAGAAACATGTTCTGAACTTGAGACTGAGAGTAGCTGAAATGAGGATGTTGAGATGGATGATTGACATTGCCAGAAAATACAAGAAAAGAGCGCAACTCATTTAACTTTGGAAGTGGCATCAATCTTGCCATATGCATGCAAAGCAAACTCACATATAGATACAAGAAAATAAGGCATGCTCTTCAACTTCAAAATAGCAAGTGGCACAATGATGCGCATGCATATGTTACATGATTCCTAAACTGGCCAAGTTACTTCTTGAAGGCCATTTACACGAAAGTACAAATACATATCAATTTCAAAGAATTTCTATTCAAGTGTATCAGATATAAAAACAAACATCTCAATAGGAACTATACCTAAATGTTGAAATCAGTAGAATGTGGGTCAGAATATTTACCTTTAGAATGGTATTGACATAAAACCCGCGCAAAAGGTTAATTTTTTTCGTTAATCCCAATCCTTCGTAGTTCTCTCAGGTGACAAGCTATTTCCTGAATGAATTTAAGACCCTCATCTCCATCTTTGAGTGTGTTAAAGGAATGCTCGAGAAAATTACGATCAGCCTCAAGTGCTTTCAACCTACCACTTAGATTAGAAACTTCATTTACAAGAGCAACAAAATCAGACTCTTTATGGACCAAGGACCAGTCTTCCCCACCACAATCAGATTCAATACTTTTATTGCTACCAAAATGGGGATTCTCAAATGATGAAATAAATCCTTCTTGACCACAAGGGATTTCTTCCAGTACAGTAGCATCATTTTGCATTGGCAAATCATTCTCTTCACTTCCACTGTTTACTTGAGAACCCCCTTTAGAGTTGAGCTCTTTCAAGTGACACAACCCATCTTCTTCCTTTCCAAAATAATCCTGGGGAACATCCTGGGGAACTCCATTATTAGAAAATTGTTGAAGCCTTTTCTCCAGTTTCTTCAAACTATTTAAAACGTATAACCTTTCATTTTCAAACTCTAACAATGAATCATTTGCAGTATCTGCACTCTTATCCCCAAACGACATAACCGTTCCTTCAATTGAATTGCCAGGAACACTTGCACTATTATTAAGGTGAATTGCAACAGAACATTTCTCTCTCACATCTTCTGCCTTCCCATCACAAGTGGGCTCCAATATGTTCTCCAACACTGATTCCCCGAATTTCTTCCTATACAATTCAAGCTCAGCTTCTAAATCTTGTATTTCTTTCTCCTTCTCTGCAAGAAACTCATTTGAATTCTGCAGTGCTTCCCCATCATATTCAGCTTGCTCTTCCATCATTCTTAGGCATTGCAAGGTTTCCATATGGAGTGTTGCTTTCTCCTCCTGTAATCTAGTAATCATGGCCATTGCTTGATTTACAGCAACTGCAGAAGCACTTCTTTCTTCCTCTAATTCCTTATACAAAGCACTCATTAGCTTCCTATCGTGCTCAATCTGGCGGTTTAACCGATCAACCACACTTTCACCTTCGATTTCACTGACAATGCTTCCATCTACAGACAAACCAGACTCATTTCTTTCAAGTGAAATCCTTCTTTGAAGTATCTGCATTCCGATAGAGCTAGAGGAATCGACTTTTAATTCATCATTATTTCCAGACACTCTAGGACTCGTATCATTCAATGATAATTCAATTCCTCGAGCAAAAGACATTTGTGACAACAAAAGCTTCAAATCTTCACTAACTCTTGTCGAATCCTTCGTAGACCTTTGCTCTGAAAGCACTCCAGATAACTGTCTTCCCCTATTGCCAACAGCTATCTTATAAGCATCCCCGAGATCCAAGTAATTAGGCATCTGCGAACTAGCATCACTAAGAACACGGTTCAATTCTATGCCTGTTTTACTTGCAATAATTGGTCCACTACCCACCTTGATTTCTCCACTCTCAGGAAGAGAATTTTGTCCAACCTCACCTGTTGCTTGAGAATCAACTGGAAGAAACCAATAAATACAAGAGAACAGAACAAAGTCAATTATAACTGCAACTAATAATGGAAACTTCAGACTTCACATTATTTTCTTTAAATTAAATTAAGATAGCATATGAAAATGGGAAAACAAATTAATTACCATGGTATTTGAGCAAATGGTTATCATGCAAACTGGATTTACTACCAGAATCTCAAAACATACTTAAACATTTAAGATGAAACCAATTTTTGTATACTCAAAAGTCAAAAATGACCGCATCTTTTAGTAAGCACGGAAAGTGGGGAATAGGAATTTTATATTCATTGTCAATGCTATGGACGAACTACATGGACTTATCCCAAAAAGAAAGGTGGTGAAAAAGATTTTGTGGCCTTTCTTTCATTTGGTGATTTAGGGTCCATTGGTTCAAATTGAAAAGAAAGATAAATAAAATGTAAAAGCAATATCCCAGAAACTTCAAACTTACAGGTGCCACTAGATACTTCAACAGGAATTTCCATGATTTTGGATGATGGAGGGACCTCATCAAAAGAACTGCGCTCAGATGGTGCAGAAGGATCAGCCTTGCACTCAACTTGTTGCCCAATTAGTTCCTCCAACCCATGCCCGATAGCAGCAGCAGCTGGTACAGATGTAGCACCATGGTGGGGGTCAACAATATCCAGCGCCTGTGACTCAAAAAGTGAGGGCTCAGGAGTGGAAGCCAAAGGTATCAATTTCTCCGTGGTCCGATCATCAGCTAAAGTAATAATGCGGGGCTCCAAATGTACAAATTGAACCGTGAAATCTTCATTGTGATCATCAGTTTCAGGAATCAGAACAGTTGCATCATCAACATCATGAGGAAGCGGTATTTCTGATTCAGAATCAGAAGTAATGTGGACCTGTGTGTATTCTATATGAGACAATGGATCGATACCATCCTTTTTCAGATCAGAAGTTGACCCAGATGGCTCCTCCTTTTTCTTCTTCAGGTCATCACAATTATGTGCAATAGTGGTTGATAGAGGTACACCAAGTTCAGTAGCATCCAATCCAACTGATTTAGTCTGAAGCAGTTTTGGGGCATAACCTCCTGAAATCCATGGCTCATTGCAACAAGAACAATTTCTTAAGCCTGAAGGACCAAGATCATAATACTGGAGTAACGGGTCCGGATCAAACCCAAGATGAGAATCGGAGCCAAATTTACCTACCAATGATCTACATGATTCGGACTTCGACTTATTTATTTTGGCAAACGAGAAGAGGCAATTTTCACACATTCTATGAGCATCAATAAGTTTATTGTGAACGTGACAAAGAACTAAAGATGAGATCTCCAATTTATGATTGGAGCAGAACAAATCCCAACAAAACCCGTCCTTTTCGTTACCAAAAACATGATCAAGTCTCGAGCAAAGTACACATGGAATTTGCAATTCACAGTAACGGGCAAATTTTGTAACCAAATAGGAGTAGATTGCACCGAGAAAAAGCATGAAGAGCAGTAACCATTCAAGAACAGCTGACACGAAAGCCGCCATAAATCCCCGGTAAACGTTTCGTGATCCGACAGATGAAGTACCCCTCATAGCCATTTCCCAGCAGAATTGAGTGAGTACAGAACTAGAAATTGATCTCCCAATATTTCCGGGATAAAATCAATAATATAACACTGTAAGGAAACAAACAAAGAAAATAGTACAGAATTCAGGATAAACCAAAGGAACCACTACAAAAATCAAAACATTCCCTGATTAGAACTCTAGTAAAACACAATGCACCAATGAAAACCCATCATATATCCTGAATTATAGCCCATAAGAACTTAAGAAATAACCATACATCAGAAGTTAACAAAACATAAAAATGTGAATCAATGAACTTGCACAACCACACACATCCATTTTTAGTAAAGGAACAAAATTCATAATGTTTCACTTCTACGCCATAAAGCATAAGCTAATGAAACAAAATCCTACATGCACACACACAATGTGGGAGAGAGATTTCTTAGAGGATCTGTACACATACAAACTTCACATATACCCTTAATAGATAAAAATATTCTTACCAAAAACACACACATAAATACAAATCTTGTTTCTACTAGGATAAATAACTGAAATACACAAACAACTGAAGAAGTACCCTGAAACAGAAGCTAATAAAATCAACATTATTCTCATAAAAGATCAATACTCAATGAAAACACACACACTCCAAAGCTGAACCTAATAAAATGCCAATATAGATTAAGAAATGAATTCGGTTGTGTTGTGGGATAAATATCCATAAAATTCTGATTTATACCATAATAAGTTAACAAACAAAATAATTATCCAAAAATATATATATATTAACAAACAAAATTTTCACCAAACCTAATACTCATAAAACCCCTGAGATTTGTCAATGAACTCACTCTTTGTGGGGTAAATATCCAAAAAATCATGATATATACCATAATAAGTTAACAAAACAAAATCTTAAGCAAACCCAATCCTCATACAGAATTGATACACATAAAAACGCCTGAGATGAGCCCTATAACACAAGTTAATAAAACAATTTTGAACAAATAAAAGAGAGAAAATAAACAGACAAACCCATTTCTCATAAAGGATCAACACCCATGAAAAAAAAAGTATAAACAAAACCCATGATCCTAAAATCCCAACATATTTAAAAAGAAAAGAGAAATAAAAAATAAAAAAATCCTCAGAGACTATCACTAATCATTAAACTCTACAGCTAAAAACAAAGGCAAATCAATAGCCACCAAAAACCGAATCAATTAATATCACAATTAAGCAAGCCCAATCAAGATAAAGAAACATATATATATAAAACCAAGTACCTGATTAGCTGAGGAAGTTTCAGAATAGCAGATAATCAATCATCTATAATTTGATGACAATAGCATTAGAAACTTATAACCGATTGGGTTTTCAGAGATTCAAACAGACTATGAGGAAGACAAAGTTTATATCTGACCAAAAGGTGTTGAATCATTCCAACGAATGTGTACTTTGCTTTCATAAGAGAGATGAAAGACGCCGACAAAACTAACTGGTCGGCTGCAACTTGAGTAAACGACGACTACCGAAAGTCCAATCAGGACAGCACCATCACCCACCCGTCCAAAAAAGTACGTGCTTTTCTTCGAAATATTAATAAAGTAGATAAAAGATTCTCCAGATAAAAAAATTAGTGTCGATATATATAGTCTCTGCCATGCCAAGGTGTATTAGAGAATAAATAAATAAATTAGTTTCCAATAGTGTTTATTAGTTAATGTATTTACTTCCCACATCGGTCATTCACTAATTTTTTTAGTGCTTATATATAATTGCACGTTGTAATTATGTGCTAGGCTCGGGGTACTTTACTTTGTGAGTTAGGTCAACCTAGGCCTCCATCGGAATTTTTATTTATAAAAAAAATAATAATTTTTGTACCGAACAGTTACAGTGAATCGTTATATTTACTCTTTTAATTAGTCAATTATATATCCCTCCGTTCCATAATAGATGTCCCTTGTGGGGAGTAAAACTTTTCAAGGGGACATGTAATTATTACATTATCCTCTTAAAAAATTAGAAAGATAACTTTTTAAGTTTAAGGATAAAGTGGGGAAAGGCCATGTAGAGGAAAGTTAGCCAATTTTTGGACAATGACACCCCTCTAAGTTTGAAAAATGAACAAAAAGACCCTGAAGATGGTGAATTGACCTTATTACCCTTTGATATAAAATTGACTTAAATACCCTTAACCTAAACCTAAACCAAACCCTAACCCGAACGCCTGTGTAAAGTACCCCTCTTCCCTTTTCTCTTTGTATCGCCGTTCGAGTCCTCTATTTCGAAATCTAACAGTGGTTCGAAGCCCTACGATCTCGGAGTTGATATGGACTACATCTTCGTTGGTTTTCTTCGCATCATCGGAATCGTGACTGTTTGTCACTAGATAGTTTGATCATCGTCGCCGTCGTCCGGTCCGTTTCTCTTCGCCGTCGCTGGAATTGGAGGTGGAAGGTCACAAATTGCGCCTGTGTATGTCGCCGTCGTCCGGTCCGTTTCTCTTCGCCGTCGCTGGAATTGGAGGTGGAAGGTCACAAATTGCGCCTGTTAGATAGATATAACAAAAATGGCTAGTTAAAGATGTTAAAAGGAGAGTTTAATGGGTCTTGCATTTCACACAGGGCTTTTGCCTCGGACGACTTGGGGATTTCGTGGTTGTGGTGATGTTAATGATTTAGGGTTTCGGTGATTATGAGAGGTGAGTTGATGCGGTGAAGGGGTGGAGATGGTTGTTTTGTATGGTGGGTGAGAAGTAGAGGTGCCGATTATGGGTGGTAGTGGTGAAGAGGTGGAGATGGTTGTCTTGTACGGTGGGTGAGCAGTGGTGGAGGTGCCGATTGTGGGTGGTGGTAGAAGGTTAGAGAGAGATAAGAGGACTGGTGGTGGTGGTGGTGGCGGCGGCCATGGTGGTATGGTAGTGGTGGTGGTGGTAGGTGGCTTCAGGTTCAATCTCAGCAACGTTGGCTGGCTTGAGTCTAAGTCCGCCTTCTCGGTGGGGAGGAGAATTGTGGGCTTGGTGTCAGATTCCGGCCGATAATTTGACGGTGGCAGAGCTCTGGCAAGGTCGAGGCTAGGGTGGTGGTTACTGTGGTTGTTTGTGTGTGTGTGTATATATATATATATATATTTATTTATTTATGAAAAGGGTAATTTGGTCATTTAAATATTTTATAATTAAAATAAATAAAATAGTGAAGGGTAAAGTGGACTTTTCACATTTTTAAGGCTCTGTTTGAGTGACAAATATTACAAGGGGGTGTGATTGTCCAAAAATAAGCCAAATTTCCTCTGCATGTCCTTTCTCCAAACCTCAGGGGGTGTCATTGTACTTTACCCTAAGTTTTTAAATATATATACACTCAAGTTTGAAATTTTTTAAAATTTTAAGGGTATTTTATGAAAAAATGTAGAATATATTGTTTAAATTTGATAAGTGGACAAGTATTTTGGGACAACCCAAAAAAAACAGATGGACAACTATTATAGGAAGGAGAGAGTAACAAATAAGGAAGTTGAGTCTTTTGCTTAATTGTATTTGGTATAAATATCTAATTAAAAATTATTCAGTTAAATTGTTTCTCGTGAGTATCACTATTCTTATAAATAAAAGTCTTCTAATAATGGAAAATGATATGAGAACCGAACAAAACAACCCATGAAAGGTCGAACTTAACGTGGCTTGGCCACATCAAATTATCTCAATTGATTTTGTTTTTGTCTCTCCTTTTGATTTTACAAAATTGAAGATAAAAATAAAAATAAATAAAAAAAATAAAAAAAAAAATTTCATGTTTTGCCAATGCAGAAGGTACAAAATAAAAATAATAAAAAAAAAACTACAACTATTGTTTCTGTCCTTTAAATTTTGTATCCATGAAACTCAAACAGAAACTTTGATATGTGTACGTTCCATCCAAACGTTTGGACCAGTCTCAAACTAGAATTAATCTGGAGAAATTTGACTGCTAGATTTCAAGAAAGATGATTGATAAAAAGAATTGATGAAGAACAGGAGAGAGAAACGAAGAGGAAGAAAGAGAAAATTGAGTTAGCGTCTTACGCGTAATGAAATTATCTGACGTGGCTATGGCCACATCAAGTTCAGTATTTTTTTGGGTAGAAATCTTTCGTTTCTCTATCACTGCTCTCTAATAATTTGCGTAACCTTTGAGATACGACTTCATAGTCGGTGTATTACAATGCATTAAATACGGTGAGTCCAAACACCGAATATCTGTGACTAGAAATATCAATTTTATCCTAATTAGTTTTTTTTTTTTTACCCTATATATACACACATGGTGTGAAATGTCAATCCTGCCCTTAGGAAGACATTTCATGCCCTCACTTTTTAATATTTTTTTAATTCCAAAAAATTTGACAAGTCAAATGAGCTAGATGCGCCATGCTAGTAAAAAAAAATTGGTACATCTAGCCTCCCCACACATTCATAATTTGGAATTCCTTTTAAGTGGTGAAATCTCTGGACCTAAATGCCCATGCTTGTAACAAAATAAAAAATACACCTCTTTTTGGTAAATATTGATTTTACCCTAATTAATTGTATTTTTGGCCCAAGAAATATGTGTATATACAATGTGAAATGTCAATCTTGCCCTCGCAATGACATTTCATGCCCTCACTTTTAATATTTTTTTAATTTCAAGAAATTTTACATGTCAAATGACCTAGATGCCCTATGCTGGTAAAAAAAAAAAAAAGAAACAAAAAAATAGAATTCTTTTTGGAAATACCAAATTTAAATTAATTAATTTTGTATTCCCCCAAGAAATATATGTACATACAATAAAGGACTTTTTTGAGATTCTCATGATTGGGGTTTAGGGTTTTTAAGAGTTAAAAAATCAACATTCGATTTATCACAGATTTATTTTTATTAGTATCATTTTTTTTTTTTTTTTATATTTACAAGACAAAGAAAAAGACTCAAAAGAGAAGAAAACACATCCGTAAGGAAGAAAGCCACGATGACGAAACATCCCATTCTAGATCACTTTGTTTGTCGTTGAGGGCCCATTTTATTTATTAGAAAAGGATACTCCTATTTTTGTTCATATAAAAAAAGTTCTTTCAGAGATAAAAAGTCCATTCATGTGTTAAAAAGTCCTTTTCACAAAGGTAAGGGATAAAAAAGTCATTTTCCATGGCATGAAATACTAATCTTGCAAGACATTTGATTGAAGGAAGGAAGGTTCGTTAGTACCACGCGCCAAAAGTTATTTACCTGAAAATCTTACCAATTTCAGACGCTTTAACTTGTCCAAGGCTAGAGCCAGGGTCAATACCGTGAGAGAGGAGGAATTTATATGGTACAGATTTATATGGTAATTTTTATATAATATCTCCTAAAATTATTACTTCCTTCGTTCTAAAATAAATATTCACTTTGAGAACTGTGACTTAAATAATTTTCAAAATAGACATCTATTTTAAGACGAAAAAAATAACTTTTTAAATATTCTCATAAAAGTAAGATTGTGTTTGTGTAGGTGTTCTTTTGAGGGATATGAAGATTTTAAGGTATGGGTTTTTGTTAATTGTTTGGGTAAGTTGGGACATTTTGACAATAACAGGGTAATTAAATGAAAAAGTACAAATGGGCCTTTTTGGATTATTAAAAAGTCTAAATAATGATTTTGTATATTTTTATAATTAGTTTGAAAATGTTAGTAGTCAAACCTAATAGTTTGAAACTCTCACGGATATAGCGGCGTTGACAAGGATTCAGGAGGTAAGTCTTGAAGTTTCACTTTCAAATCGCAACTCCTGATTTGAATGGTGTGTATGTTGTGGGGTCTATACATGTGTTCTAAAAAAAAAAAATCTTAATAGTTTGAAAAAAAATAGTAACATATTTGAAAATATGCATAATTGACTAGCGACTATTTAAATTTTCTCAATTTTTTAGTGTGAAAAATCCTCTGCGAGAAAATCTCTCTACCACGAGAAATAACTGACATACACAAGTAACAAGTACGCGTTTTTGCTTTTGTTTGGCTAGATCTGCTCATGTTTGGCTTGTTTTCGATTAGACTGGGTAGATCTGATATTTTCTCTCCGGCTAGATTCCTGATGTATGTCGGTTTTTGTTGTTCCTGACTTTTTTGATCTTCTGTGGGGTTTGGGTGGTTTTTCCCTTGTTGGAGGCACCTTGTGAATGTAACTTTGGAATTGTTGCTTTGATAATGGCCAGAACTTTGTATCACTCCTGTTAATGTTTTCTTCCTTGATGTTTCCATTGTTGAGTTGTGCCTCTTGTTCTCAACAAATCTGAAGCCTTATCTTCATTTTTCTTATTTTGCTACATAATTTGTATACCTTTATCTGGCTTGGTTTTGCTTATTTTGCTTCATGATTTGTATGTCTTTATCTGGCTTGATTTTGTCTTTGTACTGTCATTGATGGCTCGACCTTTGCGCCTTTGCAATGATATATAAAAAAAAAAATGGTCTAAATCTAATAAAATGCCAATATAGATAAACACGAACTCAATTGTCTTGTGGGAAAAATATTCATAAAATGCTGATATATATAGTAACAAATTTA